TATGAAATTTTGCAAGCTTAAATGGTATTTTTTCAATCGAAAAATTACACTTCAATAAAAATGAGAGGTCGCCCAATTGTTTAAATAGATAATCGGGAAAGGAATTCCAAATGCAGTCTTTATTTTTTAAATACTGAATAAGCCAATTTATTTTAAATACATTGTTCAAAGCATCATAACTCAACACCTCTAAACCACCATGATCTTTAGGATTGCATAAAATTTCTTTTCTCAAATAATGTGGCTTGTTTTTCCAAATAAAATCAAAAAGCATTTTATCTCTAATTGTTTGGTAACTTTAGAGGGAATATGCAATGATAACGAAACATAGACTGATCTGGAGATTCCTTCCGCTTTTGACAAAAGTACCCGCCCCAGAATTGATAGATCCCTTTGTAGCCATGCATTAAGCCTCTTACTAGTTTTGTTAATAATTGGGTTGAAGTTTAAATCATTACGCAAATTTTCATCTTTACATATATAACAACTCCCAGATGTTACTTGATTTGCAATTGGAATATTAGCTACATAAATTAGTTAAACTACATTCTTTGAGAGGAAACAGAACAGACTTATTCATATTCATTCCTAGCCCTGATACATCTGAAAATTCTTTTATGCATTTTACTGCTTTAATGATTTCATTCCTATCCTTCAAAGAGAGATTCATTAAAAGCCAGCGAGGAGCAGCGTGCGCGTGACGTCATCACGCTGGTGACGTCGCGTTGTTTTGCAAGCGCTGTACGTGACAGAGAGGCGTTGATCCGAATCCACAGGCCTTCAGGAACAACCGACGGAGACACACACACTTTCACAGCTTAAGGTAATTAAATCAACTTTACCTTTGTAGAATATCGAGAAATCATATTTACGATAAATAATAACAAGATGAGCGGGAAGCGCGTGACGCGTAAACAAACCGCCAGAAGAAACACGTCACGGTCGAGCCCGAGAACTGAACGCGATTAAACACACACAACTCGACAAACTTCTGCGATCAACGCGATTATCCGTGTGTAACGCGTGTGTATTACAGGGAAGCTCGTGTGGAGGCTTCACTGCGGGTTTGGGTTTGTGAGGTTTAGCTGCTAGTCGGTGTTGGAGTTGGTAGCTAACAGAAGTGTGTGTTCCGTGTAACACTAGCGTTACTCTCGTTAGCATCGAAGCAAGTTTGAGCTTTTACTTTCACTCTCCGCGGGGAAGTTCGGTGTTGATCTTTCTGGTATTCCTCTGTGTGGACGGAAACCACTGATGTAGACGGGTTTTTAAAGACCAACACACGTAATCTCTAGTTTATTCCCTCAAGCCTGTCTAATGTGAGGATTCTGCGCTGCTGTCAGATGATGAGGTCAAAGGTCAGGCTATAATACGCAGGTCTTTTAGAAAACCAGTTTAGTTTTAAAATGCACAGTGATCATGTGATTGACATTTAGTAGAGTAGAAACACCTCCAAAAAAAGTACATGATGTTTCTTAGTGAACTTTCAGAATTACATCATTTCCTGTGAGCCTTTAATGATCAGAGTTGGTCAGTGTTTCCGCTCAACTGACTGCTGTGACGTCACATGACCTCTGACCTTCAACACTGCGTTTTGATTTTAGTGTTTCTGTTAATAAGTGTTTTTTTTCAGCTATTATTTTTTATTTAGTTTTAATCTCATGTTAAATATCCTTTTCAGACTTGTCGACATACACACACTCGCTTGTACACACTCACTCACACACACACTCACACGCCCGCTTGTATACAACCTCTCACACACACGCTTGCTTCTACACACACGCACTCGCTTGTACTCACTCTTTCACACACACACACACACACACACCTACACACTCACACACTCGCTTGTATACAACCTCACACACACACTTGCTTGCTTTTGCACACACTTGCGTGTACACACACGCACTCGCTTGTACACACTCTTTCTCACACACACACACACACTTGCTTCCTTCTACACACACTCGCTTGTACACACTCTCACACACACTCGCTTGCTTCTACACACACTCACTTGTACACACACTCATACACACTAGCTTCCACACACACTCCTGCTCACTCCACACACACTCCTGCTCACTCCACACACACTCCACACACACTCCTGCTCTCTCCACACACTCCACACACACACTCCTGCTCACTCCTCACACACTCCTGCTCACTCCTGTGTGTGTTCTCTTTCAGCAGGTTCTCCTGTGACTGAAACAACAGAAACATGAACGTGTTCGATCGCAGCATCAACTTTGATGCTCTCTTCAAGTTCTCTCAAATGTAAGTGTTTTGATCACCTCAGTGTCTTTTTTAGACGTGTGTGTGTGTGATGTTCATGATGTAATGTGCTTTTCTGATTACACATTCTATCTACACTATAATAACTAGAGTCCTATGGTAAGTGAATGAATAAGTGAATGTTCTGAAGGTGTTCTGTTCACTGAAGTGTGTTTCTCTGGCAGCTCGCACTCGACTCAGCAACACCTGAAGAGTGTGT